AGGCCTATCCATCGTGCACCTTCCATTTCGTGAGTACATCGTCTTATCCATATTGCCCACAATATTGCCCTTCTACCAATAATAAATAAATTACATATGAATTCATCTATATGTTCTAGGTTCCATGACTCAACGAGCAACGTTTTCCACTGACATGGCCAGGTATGAGAAGTACCCAATTGTCGCCAAATTCTATCCCACCAATGTCATAACAATACTGCTCCTGGGCATTGGAGGAAGATATGTTCAATGGTTTCTGGAATAAGCCTCTTTGGAAAGACAGACTTGCAGAATTTGCACCAAGGAAGAGCTAAACCTTTTTGTTCTAGAGAGGTTCTGTCCCACAATATTGCCCTTCTACCAATAATGAATAAATTACATGTGAATTCATCTATATGTTATGGGTTCCGTGACTCAAGGAGCAACGCTTTCCACTGCCATGGCCAAGTATGACAAGTACCCAATTGTCGCCAAATTCTATCCCACCAATGCCATAACCATATCGCTCCTAGGCATTGCAGGAAAGATATGTTCAGTGGTTTCTGGAATAAGCCTTTTTGGAAAGGCAGACTTGTAGAATTTGCAGCTAAACCTTTTTGTTCTATAGAGGTTTTGTCAATAATCCAATTATTGGTAGGGAGGCATCTGTGAACAATCTGCCATTGTTGGGAACATCTGAAAGAAAGACCAAGTTACGAAAGACAACTTGAAGGGGAGAGGAATGAAGAGGGTTCGTACATCACATAGTAGGAGCAGCAAGGTTTGCACAAGTACAATGGTCAGCTGTCATCCACGACCAGCGTCATGAGGGGACATTAGCAGCAGCCACAGCAAAGCAAGGCTCCAATTTGAAATGGAAAGCGGTGGAGAGACAACTCAGAGAGCAAAGCGACGAATCATACCAATCGTCTGTGCTTTCCGGGGATGTCCCCCTTGAAAGTCAATCACTGGTTTGAAACATCAGGTGTCCGTCTCTAAAGGGCAGAGTGGTCTCCAGTTACCATATAATTGTTTTTAACCTTGTAATGCTGGCTCTTTGTTAAGTTTAAAGGGATGCTGAACCCGTTTTCCAGCAGGTGCAACTCCCCACCAATGGACCGGAGTCATCCATAAACGGGAACGGTAGAGGGGGGTCTGGTTTTATCAGTGCTCTAAATACAGGGCCTACACCAGTCCTCGATGGTTCACCAAAAGAAGAAGAAGAAGAAGAAGAAGAAAAAGAAGAAGAGAGACATCCCTTTGCTTACCCTATCTGTCAAATCAACATATTGACCGCTCCTGGGTATTGGAGGAAGATATGTTCAATGGTTTCTGGAACAAGCCTCTTTGGAAAGCCAGACTTGTAGAATTTGCAGCTAAACCTTTTTGTTCTAGAGAGGTTTCGTCAATAATCCAATTATTGGTAGGGAGGCATCTGTGAACAATCTGCCATTGCTGGGAACATCTGAAAGAAAGACCAAGTCACGAAAGACAACTTGAAGGGGAGAGGAATGAAGAGGGTCCGTACATCACATAGTAGGAGCAGCAAGGTTTACACAAGTACAATGGTCAACTGTCATCCACGACCAGCGTCATGAGGGGACATTAACAGCAGCCACAACAAAGCAAGGCTCCAATTTGAAATGGAAAGCGGCGGAGAGACAACTCAGAGAGCAAAGCTACGAATCATACCCATTGTCTGTGCTTTCCGGGGATGTCCCCCTTGAAAGCTAATCACTGGTTTGAAACATCAGGTGTCCGTCTCTAAAGGGCAGAGTGGTCTCCAGTTGCCATGTAATTGTTTTTAACCTTGTAATGCTGGCTCTATTAAGTTTAAAGGGATGCTGAACCCGTTTTCCAGCAGGTGCAACTCCCCACCAATGGACCGGTGACGCCCAAATCTCACGCCCTGCGCGACTTCTTGATCGGAGTGGGATATGGGCCTGGAAGTGCGAAAAGGGGTGTGCCAAGAATTTTTGGGGAAGTGGGGGAGTCTTAAGGGTATGAATGCAATTGGGCGAATAAGGGGCGCATGCGCGAGGGACTCAGGGTCCGATGGGGCCGGGGCACTGTGGGCGACGGTTTACGAGGAAATCCCTCTGCGGTGGAGGCGGTCCCGAAAAGTTAGGCCGTCGGGGACCACCACGTGGAGCGGGCCGCCGCGTACTTAAATTGGGCCTTTGGAATTCCGGAGTTCTCCATTCGCCGCTACGTTGGCAATTCACACAAAACGTACTGGGCCAATAGGGGGCTATGGCCGGCCACGGAACGACGCTGAGTTGATGATACGGGAGAAGAAGGCGGAAAGAAGGGAAACTGGTGGTGATGACAACAAATCCCAGGTGGGTGAAGTAGTAGGTGTGGTCGGGGGAAGGGAAATCAGAGCACCGAGGGTCGCTAGAGGTAGCGCAGTGGAATTCCCGTGGACATAGTCGATTCTCCGTGTGACAGGGGTATCGCAGCCTTATGAGTTCGTTTATCCAAGGGGTGAAATAATCCGGGTCGTAGGATGAGTCTGAGTTCCAAGATCGCGTCATGGTATCATCGTAGATGGGATAACTCTGGTCGGGTTATCATCACCACGCACGAGCATGTGCAGGACAGGCGAACTTAGTTGCACCTCCTGGGGCCAGACTTCGGATCGTCTTATTGCTTCGTAAGTTTCGATTATGCAAGATGCAACCATATCACAACCTCATCATGAGACAAGCAAAAACGAGAACGAAATCGCTATCGGGGCCAAATTCTTATCCCATCTACAACTGTATCAGGTTCAGGCAAAGATTCAACACACACAAAAAAAAGGCAAGGACAGGGATTCTCAGCAAAAAGATAGACAAGCAGGCGTAACATCCATACGTCCATATATTCGACAATCATACACATAATGCAATCGGGATGGACATCGCAAGGACAAGTGTGAGCGAAAAAAAAAAAACAAGTCCACATTCCAGAAAGCCGAAGCGAAAATAAGAACGGGCAAGCCGCCCGGAGCCGCAATCAAAATGAATGTACACAGATGAAGAGGGGGAAAAGACAAAGAAACAGCAAATCCGCGTCCATCGACCTCAACTCTCTCCTTCTCTCTCTCTCTCTCTCCGATGCGGACAGTCCGTCGTCACGCACCAACCCACGAAGTTGTCACCCCGCGTAGTCCTCCCGCACCCGTCGGATTCGCCCGTGCCCACAGTCCGTCGTGGCCCACGTCAATCTCGCGCGTTCGGCACCAGCCCGTCGGGTCGCCCAACTCCTACTCTACTCACCTCTTACTTCGCTCGTGTGCCGACCCTTCCTGATTGCGCAACCCCGAGCTTCCAACAACGGGTTAAGACAGCTGACTAATCGCGCAGCCGAAATTTATAGCGTGCATGCATGTACGAAGAACACGGAATTACCTGGACTTAGAGTGGGGATTAGAGAGGGAGTGCCTGCGTTCTGCATGGTCGGGCCGCGGCGTGGGGGACGTAGCCCTTCTCCACGTATCGATCCGACCATGCAAACCGTGGCTTACAAAAACTTCAGCAACAGAAAGAGAAGGAGGGCGGGAAAGACAAGATCCAAGAAGGAAAATACAGTTACAATGGCGCTCGCCCCAAGATTACAGTTACACACACGATTAAGGGCGCCTACTAATCAGAATACCGTTGCAGCCGCAAAAAGAAGCGTGTGGAAGAAGGAGCCGCGTGACAAGAAAAAGAAAAATCCTAACTACTGAATTCCTAATTCCTAACTAATGCGAAGAAGCAAAAAGCACAAGGTTCAGAAGGAAAGTCCGAAATTCCGAGAGTCATCGGGGACTCGACAAAATTCAAAAGAACGAAGCAAATTTCCCGCGCGATGCCCGCGCCCAAAAGATCGAAATCGAAACGAAAGAAACGGCGTCAACATTTATTAATCGCGCGTGCGCGTGGCGGCGCGCCGGACATCCATCCGACCAATCAATCAACCGGCCGTCCCAAGACACGCCCAGCTCCGTGCCTAGCCATTGGAAAAAGAAGCGACGAAAAGGACGAAAAAGCGAGGACACTGATGCAATTCTCCACCGATCCCGATCTCCCATAATTAGCCCAATCTTCCCAGCTTAGGACCCCTTGTTGCAACCGTGCAGAAAATCGCGCGTTACAGAAAGTGGTTCGTTACATATGTGACGCCCAGGGGGTTCCAATATTAGCAAGCTCCTGCTTGCTTGTTGACACGTGTCGATTTCTCTAATCGATGGACACGCAGAGCACTTCTGTCTATGCCACTTACCGTTCAACTGCGTGTGGACGTCATCCACATGGCAACATTGCTCTTCTACAAGTTCCTCAGATTGGGTTTTCGACGATCCAAGGACGGGATCCTTCTCGTATCGTCGCCGCGACACGCGTCCATTACCGCTGCATCAGTAATTAACCGAAAGGGGGAAAGGAAGGCTGTATGCATATGAGGGGGGGCGAGGCGGCTCCATCGTAAGCTCAGGTATGAAGCGCCCAATCGCAGTGAGGTCGTAGGGAAGCTCTTGGAAGCGGACGATGCGATGGAAGCGGGGGAATCGCTGGCCGCTGCGGGGAAGGGAAGCGAGGTAGTCTGGGTAAAGGGAAACGAGGGTTTGGAGGACGTCGGTGCGGAACCGATCATGGTCTTCACACGCGGGAAAGGTCCCCGTAACGATGCAGTAAACCTCTATGTGGTTACGGCCTCACCACGCGGCGCTAAGGAGTAGAATGTGGAAAGGGGAAATCGGGGACGGCGCACCGAACGGAAGGGTGGGGGTGGACAGTCAACTCTAAGCGGGCGGAGTAGAAATGTCGGAAGGTGGCGATGGGGAAGGGATTACGGGGGAAAACGACGCGATGGAAATACTGATTGAAAGAGAGATGGCTAAGGGGATGGTGGTATATGGATCGGGGACGAAGGGCAAAGCTCCTCATCGATACGTTGACGAATTGGGGGACGGGCGGAGGCGGAGGGGGACGGGGATCGGGATCGGGATCGGCGCCTTGTTGTCGCGGCGCTCGAGGTGGTGGCAGCAAGGTCCCCATGTTCCAGCTTGGGCGGCTCGGGATCCTTGGAAGGATCGTTCGATGTGGGGTCGATCACCGGCCGCTTTCCCTCCGCGACCTCTTTCTTGCGCTACGCGGCAGCCTCAGGGTTCTCCTCTCGTCGATCCGGTCCTGGCACCCACTCGAGCTCGTCGTCGTGCGTTGGCTCCTGGTCGTCTCCGCTTTCCACTTCTTCGTCGTCGTCTTCGTCCTCCTCCTCACTTGGCTCGCCCTCGCTGTGCTCACTATAGGCTTCCTCCTCTTCTTCCGAAGTCTCCTCCTCTACGTCTTCTTCTTCTTCTTCTTCTTCTTCTTCTTCTTCTTCAGCTTCCGCCGGCTCTTCTTCTGCTTCGCGTTCTTCTTCCTCGTCCTCGGCCAGCCGGGCCGCTGCTTCCCCGGCCTCTCTCCTTAATTCTCCTTCCGAATCCTCTTCTGCTTCCTCTTCTGCTCTCAGCGCCGCCCACTCGAACGCCGTTGGTTGCTGAAAGAAGCGGGGATTAGTTATGCTGTGGACGTCCAGGTACTCGCTGCGAGAGGGAACACGGTCGTCCGCCCAGCGCTCCTCGATACAAGCCAACCACTGGAGGCTCGGGGCGAGAGTCCTTGAGAGGGTATGTGGCACGGGCTCTTCGTCGCTTTGAGAGACGATGTCAAGGGGGAGTTCGTCGGCCAGTCGCGCGATCACGATCGTAAGTTCGCGCACGATCTGTGGTCGGTTTCCCCGATCCACTTCTCCAAAGACGAATCCCAGAAGGTCTCCCGCCACGTTGGTCCTCCACGCCTGGATGATGAGCAGCTCCACGGCCTCTGACGCGAGCCTCCGATCGCCTTTCCACATCCAGTTCAGATCCACTCGTAGCAGGCAGAATGAGAGCTCAACGAACTATGCACGCCACAGCCTCCAATAATCCGGATCAACGATGGGTACTGTCAGCGGCTCCAGGTGGAAGGAGAGACGAGGGTAGTGAGAGGACTGCCAGAAGATGGGGAAGAGAGAGGGAGGAGAAAACGTCGAGATCGGCGCGCGACTCATCTGCGTGGCTGGAAGGGAGCAAGTTCTGGGAGGACGACAGGTGGCTCGCGCAGCGTTGTGCGCAACGTGTTGACCTCGATGCCGTCGACAGGATAGCACTCGTCACCGTGCCTTGTGAGCCGTCGATCCCAATCAGTGGCCAGATCACGACCCCACTGGTACAAGGTGCTTTTGATGGCGGCTTGCCGCGCCGGATCGAAGGCAGTGATGTCGCCACTGAAGACTACCACGGTAGACACGTGGCTAATTCCTGGGGCCGCTCGCCGTTGGAACGCCGTTGCCTCGGCCAGCACCACCACCTGGGATTGCTCGTGAACCGGAAGTCTACCGCGCCGTACACACCCACAGTGCAGAAAAATTGTGCAAGGCGCATGAAGTCGAGGCTGATCCGCGGATGATGCACTTGGCGGATGGCTGAGATCTCTCCCCGTGGCATCAGCAACTGATTATTGAAAGCTCGCTCGATGGCGATGGCGGGGGTGACGGGGTGGCAGAGAGGGAGAAAGAAGGAGAGGGAGATGGCGGAGAGTCAGAGCCGTAGTCGTCGGCTTCCTCAGAAAGAGAGACCGAGGGAGAAGGAGACGGAGCAGAGGGGAGGAGGCGAAGATAGGACACGTGGCGGGTGATCGGACGAGCCGATCGACTGCCAGAGACCTCGGGGGCGAGACGCACGGTGTCCACGCCGTTAGGGCCGAGTTCGATCACGTGATATCGCCCGAAGGATCGTGGCGCTACCTTACCCTGGCGAGCACATTTCCTTACCTGCACCACGTCCCCCAATTTGTATTGGGGCCGCGGACCCGCATTCCCATTTCGGGCCTCGCAGCTCCGGACCTGTCGGCCTTGGGCTAGTTCAGTCATTTTCTCTCGTTTTCGGGCTAGCCTGGGCAGCGACCGTTCCATTAACTCTAGGTGTCGTTTGGCCTTGTCCCGAGTTGTGGCCCTGGTGGGCCGTCGACTCAATGTAGACTCATCCGGGAGGCTTGGTATCGAAACGCAAGCGGCGCTATTGGTTCTTAATTGGAAGGGGATTAGCCCCGTCGATTCGTGGGGCGTTCCGCGATTGACTGTCAGGATGTGATCGAGGATATCGGGCCAGGGCCTCGGATCCCGTGCCGCGATGTTTCGTCGCAATGCTGTCTTTATCACCCCGTTAGCGTTTTCGACCAGCCCATTGGATTGTGACATGTGGGGTGCAGTGTTCCGTATGGCGACGCCATGTGTGACCAGATTCCTTAACACTTCCCCTCTGAATTCGGCCCCGTTGTCGGTCAGGATTTATTCCGTATCCTGATGCATCCTGAGGAAACGGTTGATATATCGTGCAATTTCCGTGGCTTGCCGTGTGCGACAAGGATACGCTTCGATCCATTTCGAGAAATGGTCGACAAATACCAATAGGACTGAATATTCAGAACTATTAGGGCCAGGGGGCACCACTATGTCGGTAGTGTCCATGCTCACTCTTTGAAATGGCCGTTCAACAACCGTGGGCACTATCGATCTTGGTGGCTGAATCGACGCTTTATCAGCGGCGCAGACTTGACAGTTGGCGACAATGTATTTCACATCGTCGCGGATATTGGACTAGTACCACTCAGTTTTGTCGATAGCGGATTCCGTGATTCGTACGGCAAAATGGGACGCAGTTTCCTCGTGGGCTGTCTTAACCTAGTCATACCGCATGAACGGATGCGGTACCACCATCGAAATCCCACTGTCGTCCGTTTTCAGTTTTTCTAATCTACCTTCTATCCATCGATAATCCCGAGCCCTTTCGTTGGCCCTCCTCCGATCTTCCTTGGTAAAATCCTGGAGCGGGTTACCTACTAGGGTGGCAATTAAGGCAATATCCGTCCATACCTCGACCCTTCTAAACTTCCGGGTCTTTTCCAAGTTCCAACCCTTCTGACGTGGCATCCAAAAAGCGAGCCTCGGTCGGAATCTTGTCGGTCCGGCACAAGGGGCACAACCATGGTTTACTATCGTTTCTGTATTGGACGCACGAGCCATAGGCTCGTGCGACACACTGTCGGCAATCTATCCAATCCGCATACCCTTCCCTGTTAGGACGCATGGAGACCGCGTATACGCGGGAGATGGTTTCGCAAAAATAGCAAAATTTGTCAGGCAGGGAGAGGACAGACGAAGAGGAAGGGGGAGAGAGAGGGGTAGTGGGGTTACCTCCATCACCCATCGCCACCGTTTTACCTCTTACCACGTGGAAGAACCACCACTTGTCCGTATTTCGGCTCATTGGTCAAGTCCGGCTCTTTCCACAGTGTAATTTCCTCGCCCTTTGGTACCTTGGCAGGTCGATGCAGACGTGTCAGCCCGTCCGCGTTGCTTTGTCGCTCAGGCTCTGTCTTTCGATGGACGATATCGAAGTCGTATTCTTGTAGTCCCACCGCCCAATGGCCAATCATGCCCGTGTAGTTGGTGAGTTTCTTCAGCGCCAGCAAGGGTTCGTGATTTGTCACGAGGCGAAACTTCTGTCCGTAGAGATACGGATGGAAGTGTTGGATTCCCCAGACTACGGCGTAGCATTTGCCTTGAGGTGCTGAGTTATTCCTTCGTTCGTCCGGTACGGTGCATGACGCGTATTCGATGACGTGTTCACGACCATCGTTCCCCTTCTGCGCTGAAATAGCGGAAATAGCTTCCGGTTGTCAGTCCGTGATGAGAATGAACTGCTTCGAGGGGTCCGGCCGAATCAAAATAGGGGCCGTCGCCAGAGCGTCCTTGGGGGTTGCAAAAGCTTGTTGACACTCCGCGTCCCAACTGAGAGGCTGGTCCTTCCTTAACAGATTCATTAGTGGCCGCACAATCGCGGCAAAACCCTTGATGAAGCGCCGGTAGTACGACGCCAATCCCAAGAAGGCTCGAACCTGCGTCAGTGACATGGGAACCGGGGCTTCTTTCACCGCCGCAACTTTTCTCGAGTCCGACCGCAATCCTCCACGTGTCACGACGTAGCCCAAGAACGAACTTTCCGAGAGGAAAAATTCGCTCTTCTCAAGCACAATCTTGAACCCAACGTCTCTCAACGCGCCCAATGTCCATTCGATGTGTTGCGCGTGCCCGTGATAGGTTTTCGAATAGACCAGGATGTCGTCCATGTACACGATCACGCAGAAGTTAATCATCCCTTGCGTTAGTCGTGTCTTGTTGACGAAGTTCTAGAACGTCATGTTCATCGCTCGCTGAAACGTGGCAGGCGCATTGCAAATCCCCATTGGACACCGAACCCACTGCCACGTGCCCTCAAACAACACAAAGGCCGTCTTCGGCCGATCTTCCTCTTTAACCAGAATATGATGGGAGCCATGCCGAATATCAAACTTGCTGAAATAATTAGCGCATCCAATCACATCCAACAAATCATCAATCCGGGGGAGGGGATACACATCTTTGATCGTGATTTCATTCAGCTTGCGATAATCAATGCAAATGTGAATCGCTCCGTTTTTCTTTGGTACTAACACTACAGGAAAGGACCAAGGTCCGGTGGTGGGTTCAATCCAGCTGCTGGCTTCGAATTCCCGAATTCGTTCGAGAGACTTTTTGCGTTCAATCAAGGAATACCGGTAAGGTTTGCAATGAATTGGGGAGTGATTTCCTGTCTGAATCTCATGTTGGATTACTAACGACAAACCAATGTCAGTATCTGTCACGCTAATCGCTCCTTCATATTCCGTTAGAATGTCCGCAATTACCCGGTGGATTTCAAAAAGTTGATCCCCGATCCGAACGTCAAGCTGTTTCGTGCGTGTCTGTTTTGCCACCTCAAGCGGAGGCGCCGAGATGAATGAATGATCCGATTGCCTAGAGAACACCGTGACCATCATCTGGGCGTCTTCTTCCCGGATTGCCACGTGTCCTTTCGGGGTAATCTCTTCACAAACATCCTGCCATGGCACGTTCTTAGTTGCGATCTTTATCCCCAGTCCGTCTGTTTCTGCCTCGAAACGCCCAGGGGGTTCCAGAGACCTTGCTTCCGCCCCCAAGCGTAACAATCTTACTTCTTTAGCAGATGTCAATAAAGACTTAGGTAATTCTGTAATGTCGCAATAATGCTTTTTGTCGCTATACCTGGCGAGGAGAGGGGTAATTCCTTCGTACAGAGTTTGAGGGGGTTCCAAAGAGTCGGCCATCCTCGAAATCTGCACGAGGGGCTCACCCAAGATCATTGCCATGGTCCTTTGAATTTTTCGGCTGGTCAGTTGCATCGTTCTCGCTATCGTTTTGGGCGGCGGGTAGCAAACGCATTGTCGTACCAATTTCAAGATCTCCGGATCATCTTCGTCACTGCTTTCTGCATCATCTGTTGATGACTTTCCCTCTGCGGATTCATCCCAGGAGATCATGCGGAGAGTCCCTGCCATCATCGGCGGAACCCGCGGAACCGCATTAATAGTAGTGCGAAGGGTCAATCGCATGGGCACAGCGTAGGGTTTTCCTCCTGTATTTCGGAGGACGATCGATCGTCGCTCGAAATCCAGGTTCGCTGGTAATGCCACAAGAGCGGGAAGTCCGAAAGGAACGTCGTACGTATTAACATCTAGTACTACGACATCCCCAAGCGCGTGTACTTTTCCTAATCGGAAGGCGACATTGGTCATTCTCCCTACAGTTTTGATCTTTTCCTCATCTGCCGAAACGAGCTGATCTTTCTCAGTGAGCATGATCAGATCGTTTTTCCTACCTGCCCTTTCGACCACTCTCAGTGAAATCACCAACACCGCTGCTCCCGAATCTATACTTGCGCTGTAGGGAATTTCCCAAATTTCAATATCACATTCTGCGGATTTTCACGGAATCGGTTTAATCTGTAAGAAATGATCGTCTTTCTGAATTAAACCCACCCGTATCGGATCCGGAGTGTCTGTTGGGTTTTCTTCTGGTGCGGGGCCTTTGGCTTTTGCATTTGGTGTTCGGGCGAGGGCGAATCGCTTTCTGTTTGCTTTGCAATGCTGTAGCATTCGCTCGTTGGCTTGCTCGGAGATCGAGAGTAGAGGACCGATCGGGAGAGGAATCTGATGGTCCAAGGCTCAGATGATATTTAATACATCGATCTCTCCTGTGACGAAGGTGGGTCCTCCCGATTCCATTTCTCCTAGAGACGGTCGCCATTCCGCCACCTCTTTCGGTTCTGGCGCTGGTCTGGTTGTTCCGATCATTCCAAGCCCAGGATATCCCAGCGATACGTATTGATATAGCGGGATTAGCTCGGCGGCCTCTTCCATGGTGGCCAGGGCACTTCCCCCGCCCTCTATTTCTTCCATCAATGCTCCGACTCGTCCAGGTCCATTAGCGATGGGAGCCGCCGCTATAGGCGCGACCCCGATTCCGTGTTGTGGGGGTCGGTGGGGGCAATCACGGGCTAGATGTCCTGGCTGATGACAGGCATAACAAACATTCAAATTATTTGCGACTCCTCCAAGCGCAGGTGCCGGGGCAAATCCTTGCTGCATCGGAGGGGCGCGTACTGCTGTGAGGAAACCCGTGGAGGGGTCGCCTACCGTTCGCTGAAGCCAGGGGCAACAGCGCCTGTCACTCGTTGCGCCCGCTTCCGAGGTCCTCGGCGACCAGCAGGGTTCTTTTTGTGATCCGCCTGTCACAGCGTCCGCTCATTGATGAGCTTTGTATCATGATCAGGGCATGGGAAAACAACTAATTATTTCTCTCAATTAAAGTATTCCTTATTTTCAGGCAGGCTCCTAATCCAGGCTTGGAACGATTCAAAGGGGTTTAGCTGTTTCGCCTTAGCACAGATACTTGCAAAAAAAAAAGAAATAAAATAAAATTAAATAAAATTAAAAGAAGGTATATAAAAAAAAGAAATGCGCGCGGCTCACTCCCTCAACCTTTGTGAGCACAGGCTTTCTCCCTCTCATCCTTTGTGCGAATAGTCTCTCCCACTCTCAAGCTTCGTGAGCACAGACTCTCTCTCTCTCCGCTGCCCTGTCACTCTTCGTCTCTCTCTCTCATTCAGCTGCGCTGTTACTCTCCCTCTCTCTCTCTCATTAAGGTCTGCTGTCACTCTCCCCCGCTCTTTCATTTTGCGTGCAATTTCTTACCCCTTACCTTTGTCTGAACAGCAGCAGGAAATGAAAACGAGTGGTTTTCGCCGGTAGCAGGGATGCTTGATTGCCCGCTCAGCAAACTGGACGGTCACATTGTCAGTGGGATTGCTTGATTGCAGTCTTGATCAGCTATCCATCATAAGTGGCCGAACCCACCAACAGTAGGATCGATCGATTATCTGATAATTAGAGATTCACCAGTCACCAATCCGGCCCTGTCAGCGCTGGGGAAAACAGTTGGCTGTTCAACAAATATAGTAAAATAACCAGTCCCGACAGCTGTGGGAAACTCGATTGGCTGATCAGCGAATGTAGTAAAATAATCCGTCCCGACAGCAGCGGGAAACTTGATTGGCTGATCAGCGAATGTGGTAAGGTAACTGGTTCCAATGCCAATGGGAAACTTTAACTGATCCCGATGGCAGCGGGGCAATTCACCCCATACTCTCTCATATGCGTCACCTGTTACATTGGACCAATCAACTACGATCGGCCGTGTATCTGCACAGCCCTAACGGCCAGATCAAAACTCGAAGTTCCAGCGTTCCGAACCAGAAGCTTCAGCAAATCAGCCCTCGATTTTCTCCATGTGTGCAGGTAGTTGAAACGGGCAGATCGGCACCCCAGTTTCTCCCATGTTTCTGGGCTACTTTACCGGGCAGATTAATGCCCAATATCAAAAATGTGATTGGACTGCTGAAACGGGCTGATAGACGCCTATTTATTTATATATATATATATATTTATATATATATATATACATATATATATTTTCCATGTATCTGGACAGCTTTAGCAGGCTGATTAATGCCCAATATTCAGAATGGGCTCAAGTAGTAATGACAGCGGGCAGATCAGCCCCTCAGTTCTCTCCATGTGAACGGGATGATGGAATGGCTGATCACCGCTTGATTCCCTCATGTATGCGGATAGCTCTAGCGGGCAGTAGTAGTGGCAGTGGGCGGATCAGCCCTCAGTTCTCTCTTCGTCAACAGTCCACAGGATGATAGAACGGGCTAATCAGCGGGCAGATTAATGTCCAATATTCAGAATGTGCTCAAGTAGTAGGAACAACGGGCAGATCAGCCCTCAGTTCCCTCCATGTCAACAGGATGATGGAATGGCTAATCACCGCTTGATTTCCCCCATGTATGCGGATAGCTCTAGCGGGCAGATTAATGCCCAATATTCAGAATGGGCTCAAG